GCCATTCCCAGTCCTTATTCAATCCTGAGTTGATTGTGTCTAGTTTGCATATCAATTCCAGCTCAGCAGTCTCTCGTTGGAGTCTGTTTTTGAAGTTTTTCTGTTGTAATATATGTTTATGCTCTCTCTATCTGTGTATATATATCTCCTCAATATTTATTTCACTCTATATGCATCCGAGGAAGTGGGCTGTAGTCCACAAAAGCTTATGTTCTAATAAATTTGTTAGTCTCTAAGGTGCCACAAGTACTCCTGTTCTTTTTAAGGATAAGGGACTTACCTAAGGCTACAGATTCTTTGACAATGCCAAAAGCAGAACCCACGTCCCCCGATTACATAGCTAACGTCTAGCACAAGCGTTGCCCACGTCTCATTGAGAAAGTGACCAGTGAACCACTTCCTCCCCCATTTGCTACCACACGATGATATTTCTGTGACAACTACAGCAAGTGCTTCTGTAGACGGGCAGCCTCAGGACAATATTTATGTACAGTATTTTCTCTTTAATACACTAAGTGTTTCATTCTTCCTCGAAAGGCGCTAATCTCACCGGCCCGCTCTTCATCTCACTCGGTGTACGGAACCGCAGCTCAACCTGAGCAGTGCAGCCACTGCCAGGGCTAGCGGGCGGGTGTCGGGGGAGGCAGGGGCCTGTCTTCTGGGCTCGTCATGCCCACCTCCCGGAACCTAACAGGACACCCTCCTGACCATCGCCGGCCCACCCCGCGCTGGGCACGGCCTGCTTCCGCGCGCTACCCACTAGCCCACACTCCCTCCCGTACAGACACACCGGGGCCTGCGCCTTGGATTCGCCCCCTCCCCCGGCGGAGAGACCCGGCCTGAGACTACCCAGGGCAACGAGGGCAGGGGCCACCCCGCGCCCCAGGCTGCCGAGAAAGGTTGGGGCCCAGTCTCGGTACCTTTCAGGGCTAGCAGATGCTCTTGCTTCGGCTGATTCACATCCATTGCCTCGGCCTCCCCTCTCTAGGCCTTCGCCACCTACAGGATTCACCTAGGCCAAGATTCTACTAATGGCGAAAGGAACCACGATAAAGGTCCACACGCAGCCCGAGCCAAGCTGCCCGGGTCCCAGAAAACCCGGCGGTGCGTTTCCCGGCATGCAACGCGCCACCTGGGACTGAGCAGGACCGTGAAGAAACTACAGGCCCCAGCATGCACTGCTCCCCTTGATCCCAGCTGCTCACGGACGATCTGGGCGAAGAGGGACCCGTGGTGTAGTCTTCTAGGGATCTGGACTAATCGCGTTGCATGCTGGGATTTTAAGTCTTCGTTGAGGTGACTGAGATGAAGTTAGAGCATTACACGCTGGAACCTGTAGTTTTCGCGAGCCGCTGAGCGTCAATGTGACCCGTTGAATGATGGGAACTGTAGTCTTCATGCAGCCCTTGGGTGTCACTGTGGGCTTTGCGAGGAGACGCATGCGCAGTGGTGATCACGGCGGCCGCTGGGGAATAACTCCTTTAATATTATTTTTCATTCCTGCGCGGACGCTTCGTGTGGTGACATCACAGCGCAAGGCCTGTAGCGTCAGCGCGTGGCCCGCTCCCCTTTCTCTGCTGGCTCATTGGTTTATCGGTGCGTAGGTAGCTCGTTCCTCCTCCCTTTTCCAAGATGGCGGCCATGGGTGTAAACAAGGCCGGCCTCGGAGCGGGGCTCGATGCCGGCCCCCGGCACAGCGGCAGCCGGGGGCCGGCCGGGGCTGCTGTGAAGGTGAGAGGAACTGCACCCGTCCGCCCGGTTCACACAACAGATCCTGCCAAAGGGTGGCGATGCTGCGTCGGCTAATGGGCTTCTCCCAGCGGCTGAAACAGCCTGTGCAGCAGCAGCCTCCCCTGGCTTCGGGGGGCGACACCGGTGGGGACATGGAGAATCCTGCACGAGTGCGGAGGGATGATTTGCTGTGTTGGGCGGCCCTGGGATCTGTGAGCCCGTGCGAGCGTAGGGGACAGCCTGTCGAGAGGCGGGTGGGGTGTCAGGCCAATGGGTGGCCCTCTGAGTAGGGCCCTACCAAATTCACGGTCCATTTAAAAGAAACTGAATTTCAAAGTTTCAGATATTTAAATTTTAAATTTCATGGTGTTGTAACTATGGGGGTCCTGCCCCCAAAAAGAGGGCGGTGGGGCAAGGCTATTGTAGGAGGTTTTTGCCACCCTTATTTCTGCACTGCCTTCAGAGTTGGGTGGCCAAAGAGTGGCAACTGCTGGCCAAGAACCCATCTCTGAAGGCTGTGTTGATGCCAGCAGGAGTGGAAAAGTAATACCATACTATGCCACCCCCCCCCACAAGAGCCAGATTTAATGGGGGAGACCAGATTTCACAGTCCATGATGTGTTTTTCATAGCTGTGAATTTGGTAGGGCACTACCTATGAGGTGGGGAAGTCCTGGGGTTCGCTGAATCAGCTGGGCCATGGAGTGGCTCCCCATCAAGAGCCTTAGATCAGACAGGCAGTTGGGCAGGGCTGGCCCTTGGTTCCTTTTCCCCGGGGCTCGCTGTAAGTGGGTCCAGCTTCAGTTCATTTGCAGAAAGAAAGGGCTGTACAAAAGCAAATCGTGACTAGAATCCATGAAGGAAGAACTGTCTAATGCAGGGGCCGGCAACCTTTCAGAAGTGGTGTGCCGAGGCTTCATTTGTTCACTCTAATTTAAGGTTTTGTGTGCCAGTAATACATTTTAATGTTTTTAGAAGGTCTCTTTCTATAAGTCTATAATATATAACTAAAGTATTGTTGTATGTAAAGTAAATAAAGTTTTTTAAATGTTTAAGAAGCTTCATTTAAAATT